AACTACATATTAATTTTAGGTATATAATATTATACATAAAAAAGTTATAGAATTTTACGCAGAATCTAAAAATAAGATAAAAAATAGGGTGTTGCATTAAAAAAACATATTTATATTCGCCACACTTTTTTGCAGCACTGTATACTCTAAAAGAATTTAACAAAATGTGTATCTGAACCTTCCCCATAACTTTTATATTTAACATTTTTTTGTAAACCTCGAAACAAATGAGAAAATGAACTTTATTGTTGATTCACTCTGTACTTTCTAATACCAATTCAATATCATACGATTGAAAAAAAAAAACGTTATAGTTTGGAAATAAAGATAACCGTCATTACATAGAGGGTGAGTCTTAAATAAGTGCAAATATTTTTAGGGGTAGTATATTTTTGACCCCAGAAACACGATTATGAGGTTTTGTATGAAAGTTTTATACCCTGTATCTTCGAAACAAGGCATTTTGGGACATGCATTTATAGGAACTTTATAACTTATTTTTATCCGCAGAATAGGCTGCCGAAGTTTCCCGAATACAATTTGGACCACCCTGTAGATTGAATTCAATTGAGGTCTGGTCACTTTATGGATGCCTTTTTTTCAACAATACGGTATCTTAAGTATAGGTACTTATAATTCAGGCAGCGCCTCTTTGTTCAGCTCAACAATTAAGAATTACTAGAGAAAAAAGAATATGGACACTCTAACCGTAATTATTCCTGTTATGCTTATCTTACATTATTGCATAAAGGTTATGGGTGGGACAATAAATTGTTATAAGGCAATAAACAAATTTATATAGAATAACATACAAATTTGAGTTGAATGGTAAATGTCTCTTTATTACAATTTTTATTATAAATTATTTTTGTAAAAATAAAAATATAATTTAAATTGATCGTGAATTCCTTTAATTTATATGTTTTCATGTTGCATATTTTGAAATAAAAAAAGATACACTATAATACGTCTGAGTGGTATATACAGAGTGTTTCAGAAAACATGTACCATCTCTCTTGGGGATGTTCTTCACGTAAAAATAAAATTTATTTTTTATATCAACATAGGCCCGACTCTGCTTTGTTTTGTAGCTACTGGAAGTTAAAGCCTTCATTTTTTTTTCGATTTATTGTAATATTCTTCCAAGTGCTTTTAGTAATTCGAATGAAGTTTCGAGGGAAGTTACTATAAGGTGCTACATATTTTAATCTAAAAAAATGTCAACAAATTTACCAGTGACATGCATATGACATATGGGCTATCACTGAAATATTTATCTAAAAAAACACGTGCGCCACTGACTTTTTTCACTTTTTAGAAAAATTGTGCAGGGCGTTAATACCGATAAAAAGCTGTATCTTGATATTTTGTCAATTTCAGTCTCTTTAATGAGATAAACGCAATTTTATTTATAATAAAAATAAAATTAATACGGTATTTAATTAATATGTATATTTATATATTAAGTAATATTTAAGAATATTACAAAAAATCTATTTTTTAAAAAGTTTTAACATCTTATAACTTTAAATTATGCATTTTCTACATTCATGTTTATTGGAATTTTACCCTATTTTTTGACGAGGAATCAAGGAATACTTATTTAACACTTTGGCCAGTTAATGAAATTAAAAAAATAAATGTTGCTATTAGACTTGGATTAAGGAAAATTAATAAAATTGCGTTTATCTCATCAAGACGACGTTTAATCGACATTAAACGCTTTTCACAATTTTGCTAACCAGAGAAAAAAAGTCTAAACACCTTGTATATGTTTCCAATAAACATTAATACTTGGTACTTTGTTTTCTTTGATTGGGGTTTGCACTCTGGACCCGGTGCGCGGTGATTCACGAAACACAGGCTCGTAACTGAATAGGTAAGCCACTGTGCAGTTATACAGGGTGTCCCAGAAATGAGTGCAAGTATTTTAACTGGTAGTATAGTTTAACCTCAGAAACACGCCTATGAGGTTTTTTTCACGAAAAAAAAAAATTGAAAATTCGGAATTTTTTGAAAAAAAAAAAATTTGAAAACATAATTTCTCGATAATATGGCAACATAGGTAGTATGTTTTTTCCCAACCAAACCAAACCAAACCAAAACATAATTTCGTGATAATATGGCTAACATAGGTAGTAGATTAAATTTACAAGAAAGAAAATCCAGAAAACATCCAGCGGTTCTAAAAATTTTAGCAAAAAATATATTTTTTTTTAATTTTCAAAGTAAAATAACTCCATTATTTTGGACTTATTTGAAAAACGACAAAGAGAAAATATGTTTCTTTCATCGAGATCTACCACCCCTTAAAATACTTGCACTTATTTCTGGGACACCCTGTATATTAAATAAACTATACCGTATGATCGAAAAAAAAAACGGCGTCCAGTTGGCTGGGAAATGACGAACAATGACATTTCCCATATAAAATGACAGCGATCTTCATTTCATAGCCATCCCTGACGCCGTTTTTTTCGATCATACCGAGGATCATACGGTATTTTTGAAGAATATTGTAATTAAATTAATATAAAATATTCTTTGCTATTATCCATATTCTAAATCCTGATATATCTATTTCTTTACTTCGCTAAAAATAGCGTCGCATATGCGAGGCTTGTTATCTCGCTTCGTTGGTCAACTTTTCAACCAAGCAAATCCTTTTGTTTGTGTATTTTAAGAGGCCTTCGCGGTTGGTTTCATTTTAATTTTTCCTTTGGCCCCAATGCAAACATAACCCGTGCAAATACAGGGACTCGCTCTCCTCAGGGATCTTTTTAAGGGAACAATGGTGATGTTTGAGCAGTGAAATCAATAGTTCCTAGGAACAGATTCAAAGTTTACAGACTACAAGAATGAAGTAGATGTAAGACTAGTGTTTAGTTGGAAAGATCTTATTGTTTTATTTTTTATAATATATATGTCAACTTTTGACATTTTCGCTTAAAGGCAAATTGTACTTTAAATTTCAATCTAGAGTGCCATGGCTGTGTTAAAAATACTAATTTTTAATCAAAGAGTCTTGGAAAAATATATTTGATCGTGTATTGTTTTTCGTGTTGTTCTGACAAAAAAAGTTAAAAGATGCCTAAAACGTATTTTTAATCATATCTGAATTTTTTCAAATGGAACGAGCGTGGCTCATTAGCACATTTGGAAAAAGCATTTTTTACGAAGAATTTGATACCACACACTTGGTATTTCGGGTGAAATTTTCGTTATGAACCGCATGTTATAATATAATTTCAAATAAACCATATGAGAAAATGTCAAAAGTTGATATATGATATGTCATATTCTATTCAGACTGTTATTAATTTTCTATCGACTAAAGTAAAAAATACCGAGGGTGTCATTTAAAAATCAAAAGTTGTAGTCATTTCCGGTGAAACAGGAAGTGACTGAAAACAATTGAATACGTCAATCAATCCGAATTTATGTCATATACTAACATATCAAATCTGATTTTTTTAACTGAAAAAATAAAAAAGTTATAGATATAGTCACTTGTGAGACGCACCCGTTATATGCGAAAATGTCAAAAGTTGACATATGATATATGTCGTTCTATTCAGAATGCGATTTTTTATCGAATGAAGTAAAAAAAATACCAAGAGTAAGTTGTACTCATTTCCGGTGAAATAGGAAGTGACCAAAAACAATGCGTCAATCAATCCTAATTTAAGTCATATACCGTATGATCGAAAAAACGGCGTCCAGTTGGCATTAACGTAACTAGCAATTCATCCTGGGGGGGGGGGGTTGTTTGAGAAATAAAGAATAATATTAAAAACCACATTTTTTGAATAACACGTTTACATGAATTTCTCTATCAATAAATTTCATAAACTTGGTTATCAAACCGTGTTCCTGTAGATTATACTTAAATACCTACAAATTTTATAAAAAATAAAAATTAACACATTTTTTGAACACAACAAATTCATTTTTTCATCATTTTCATTCATTATTTAACGTCATTTTCGCTACATCACAAGCAAATAAAAATTAATACGTAGCCAAGAGTCATAATTCAAGATTTTTATGGGGGGTGTTCAGCAATACCTGGGGGGTACTCGGCACCCCCGTGCACCACTGTAGTTACGCCAATGCCAGTTGGCTGGGAAATGACGATCCATGACATTTCTCATATAAATTTACATGTAAAATGACAGCGATCTTCATTTCACAGCCATCGCTGACGCCGTTTTTTTTTCGATCATATGGTACTAACATACCAAATCTCGTTTTGATATTTAAAAAAATAAAAAAGTTATAGGGGTGAGCCACGTTTGAGACGCACCTGGTATAGGAATAAAATATATTGAAAAGTTCTATTATTCTCACAAAATTGAAATAGTTATTGTAATCTATGGATTGTTTAATAAAAGATTAGTAAAAAGTCTTTAATGAATACTAAAAAAAATGTTAAAAATTATAAAAAAAAAATAAAAAAGTTTTTAGCAGAGCGTGGTTTCGATCCACGGACCTCTGGGTTATGGGCCCAGCACGCTTCCACTGCGCCACTCTGCTCTTGTTCATAACTTTTCAACTAGGCTTATATATACGGGACACGAGTTTGCTCAGAAAATTAGCAATTATATTTATTATGTTTAAAATCTATAATGGAAAATAGTAATTAATATAGGCACCTTAAGATACTCCAAATTAAATAATTTGTATACATAAACATGGTAATTAATACGTTTGTAAAATATTTCTACAAAGACAATAGTTGGAAACCTTTTTACTTATATTATTTTCTGGCTCAATTAGGAAATATGGTACCGGAAATATATATAAATCATATTTTTTTCTAGTTATTCTAATTGAAACATCTATTTGTTAAAAACTTAAAAAATAAGAAAATATATTTTAAATCTGATCCATCTCTTTGTATCTATTTCCACTTTTTTGTGTGTTAGAGAGAGAAAAGTACTGTTCCCAAACGTCATAAAATGAAAAAAGAATTTAAATATCTTAGGTTAAGTTTATGACCGCATTATTCCGAAGCGTCCTGTCATTTAGCATCAGGTAACAATTTGCTATTTAATTTAGTTTCTTTATAATTGTTTATTGTACCTGGGTTATAAAAGAGGGTACATTCAGTAAAGGGAGTTTAGTTTGGTAAAGTTTTCTGATCGGTATCGGTGTGAGAAGAAAAGTTACGAGCGTCGACAGGTTCACAAAGAAAGCTAACCTAAAACAGTATTGGCGGCAGTTTGTTCATAATCGGTATCGGTTATTCGCGAATTTACCATGAGTTCACGCGTTTATGTTGGTGGTATCCCGTACGAGACCCGTGAAAGAGACTTGGAAGGCTTTTTCCGAGGATTTGGACGTATCCGAGATGTTTTAATAAAGAACGGGTGAGTACCAAAGGACCCCCATGTGCTTGTAACTTGTTACCGTCCATCGGCGTTTAAGTCATGGCGTGTACTTGTTTATGTTTATTCAGTAGTTGCTTTTAGTTTAAATATTAGAATTTTATGATAAATGCGTTTTAAAGTATAATACTTTTGTTTCTAATAACTTCTTTTACGACCAAAAAAATCTTCAAAGTAAAAACAATTTCCATGGAATGCTCAACCAGGAAGACGCATGCGTGTCAGATTAACTACTTTTTTATTTTTAAACATTTTTGTAATGCTAATTAAGTAATTTATGACAATTATCAACCTTTTTTTATATCAGTTGAATTTTTGGTTGAGTTTTCCTAGATTATTTTTATGAAGTATTGAAATGCGACCTAAAATACTTGTTACTTAGCTTACCGGATAGCTTTTTAGTTAGTTGGCAAGTAATTATGCATATACTTACCTAAGTAGTTAAAAAACTACTTAGCTAATTAGTTAAAACCCAGAAAATCTCGAAATTGGCATATTAGACTTATTTTTTTATCAATTTTAGGTACCTATGTGGGTATTTTGTAATTTTTAAAAATAGCAAATATCATAAATGATGCCATGTTTGTTTGTCTTTCAAAAGAATGATTGATAGGTATATATTCATACATGTTTAAGAATATTTTTTGCTATATTTTGTGGTTTTTGTAAATGCCAAGAAATTCTGTAATTTAACTAGGTTTTGCTTTCAATATTTTATTACCTACTAGCAAAAAGCCCGGGTATTTTTATTGCAGTAGAATTTAATACCTGTTTATACACTTCTTTTGTTGAAATTTCACGATTTTAATATTTCTTAGTGCTTCCAGATATGGTTTTGTGGAATTTGACGACTACAGAGATGCCGAAGACGCCGTTTATGAGCTTCATGGAAAAAAATTGTTGGGCATGAGAGTCAGTGTAGAAATGGCTCGTGGTAGACCTCGTGGTCGTGACCAGGAATGGTTTTCTAGCAGAGACCATCGGCCTAGACAGGGGCCCCCTGTTAGAACTCAGTACAGAATCTTTGTGGAGAATTTGTCATCAGGAGTGTCTTGGCAAGACTTGAAAGACTACCTGAGACCAGCAGGCGAGGTTACATTTGCAGATGCCCACAAGAAATACAAAAACGAGGGTATAGTAGAGTTTGCCTCTTACGACGATATGAAGAATGCTATTCGAAAGTTCGATGATACTGTTCTGAACGGCAGAAGGATTCGTTTGGTTGAAGATAAGACTACCAGGAGGTCAAGATCAAGAAGCCGCAGTTCTAGCGCCGATAGCAGAAGAAGAGACAGGTCTAGGTAATTATCCGTATTTTTTATATATTTCCTTTTAATTATTTATGTTTACATTTTCTACATATTTATAACGCGTTTGAAATCATTTTTAAAGACATTTTAAGTCAGTTTTTATATTGAATTATAATCTACATATATAAAATGCTAATGTTTATCTGTGTTGTCTCTACTGAAGTACCAACTTGCCCTAGAAAGTTGCTTTTTTTACTAAAAGATAGCTAATTGGCTCTTCTAACTGTCGTCGCCGGATTTTTTGTTTTTCATTTAATTAAAAAAAATAAGAAGTATTTTCTTTTCCTTATGTCGTGGCGGATGCGCCAGGCTTCAACTAGTAATTAATAATATTTAAATATTAATTTTTTGCATATCATATTATCTGCATCAATGTAAATTTCTAGAATTTTCATGTAAATAAAACTTTAATTCTAGGTTTACTTTCTGAAAATATTTTGTTATTCAGTTTATTTTAAATTTTTATGCAAAGGGAGTTTTATACAGGGTGGACCATTCTTATCAATAAGCCTGATATCAGGTTTTCAATTTAGATTACACCTAAAGTCCTAAACATCTAAATGAGTTTCTTCTTTGATAGATGGTTTTAATCAGTTTTGATTAACGTCATATTTATTGCTGTTTTATTATGTTGATGTTTTGATTATAAACTTTGTTCTTTTTTTTTTCTAAAATATGAAAAAATAGCAATATCTTAATCAAAACTAATACTAACCATCTATCAAAGAATGAAAAAGGAATGATATTACCATAGAAACGCGTTTTGAATTTTGAGACAATTTGGGTCTTGGTAAAAAATTCAACTTCCTATATTTCCATATTTTTTTTTACTTTTCTCTAAAATAGTGTGGACATTTGGAAAAGTACCGTATGATCGAGAAAAAAACGGCGTCCAGTTGGCTTGGAAATGATGATTGATGACATCTCCCCTATAAATTTACATATTAAATGGCAGCGATCTTCATTTCATAGCCATCGCTGACGCGTTTTTTTTTCGATCATACGGTATAGACGGGGTTAACAATTTTAGAACAAGCAAACATTTTTATGAAGAATTAGTTTTTCTCATAAAGTTGTTTAAAGAAAAAAGTCTTTCCTCTTGTGAAGACTATCTGGGGACATTGTATACTAACTGAATTTTATAATAATTTAATAAATGTTAGATTAAATTTTTAAATATTTAAATTTTTTTATCCATAATTATTTTATAATAGTTAATTTTACTAAAATAGGCTAAATTACTTGGTACAAAATAAGTTATCAACACATTTTTCACCTCCGAAGTTAGTAGTCTAGGATTTATTATGCTAATGGTATCTGAAAATAACCATTAAAAAAATTAGCAAATGACTACCAAATTTGTATAAATAAAACTTATTTATCAAAACATGAGGTTGGTTAATATACCTATACCGGGTGCGTCTCAAAAGTGGCTCACCCCTATAACTTTTTTATTTTTTCAGATAAAAAAATGAGATTTGGTATGTTAGTAAATGTAATAAATTAAGATTGACTGACTTATACAATTGTTTTCGGTTACTTCCTGTTTGACGGAAAATGACTACAACTTTTGACTTTTAAATGGCACCCTCGATATTTTTTACTTTATTCAATTAAAAATATCACTATGAACTGAATGACATATCATTGTAAACTTTTGACATATTCGCTTAAAAACAAATTGGAGTGTCATTTTCTATCGAATAAAGTAAAAAAATACCGAGGGTGCCATTTAAAAATCAAAAGTTGTAGTCATTTCCGGTGAGACCGGAAGTGACCGAAAACAATTAAATATGTCAATCAATCCTAATTTATGTCATATACTAACACACCGAATCTCGTTGTTTTCTCTGAAAAAATAAAAAAGTTATAGTGGTGAGCCACTTTTTAGACGCATCCGGCACCCGGTATATGTCCATTTGAAATACAATATTAGTTTTAACTCACTTTATTATGTATATGCCAATTGGTTTATTTTAGTACAATTAGTTTTGAAAAGGATACTGTTAAAACTATTTCAAATTTAAAAAAATATGGAATTTTCCATTTTATAATCTTGGGAATGCATTAAAGGTGTTGAACATTTCAAAATCCACTCAGTATTAATTACGATGAGTTATAACTCAAGAAAGGGGAGAACAATAATATAGAGAGATGTAAAAGGTCGCGGCGATTAACTTTATCTAACTCTACCTACAGTATTTATTATGATATATATGTGTTTTTCGAACAACATTCAACATTGATATTGACATATCCTCATCTGATGATTTATTAATATTAATGATATCATTACTGTCAGTGACACTAACTTCAGAACCTTGAGATAGGACTGGTTTTCCCGGAAAATTTAATAAATAGAAATCATCGAATATATCAGATATATCTACAGGGTGGTCCAAATTGTATTCGGTTAACTTTGGCAGCATATTTTGCAGATTAAAATAAGTAGAAAGTTTGTATAGATTTATGTTCTAAAATTATTTATTTTGGAGATACAAGGTGTAAAAGTTTCATTTTTTTTTATATTTTCAAAATAACTTTAAACTAATATTTGGATAAAAATTAGTGTTTGGGTGTTTTAAAAACTAATGAGTGAAAAAATATACATTTCCGTCATTTTTTACGTAAAAATGGTCTCTTGATCAAAATCGCTAGGAGCAACCGTTCTCAAGATATTTGGAATGGAAATAGTTAATACGTGTAATTATTGATAAAAAATAAACATGTTGACAAGATAAGATATTTGACTGATATGCTATACAATCAACAAATAATAAAGTTGAACTTTAATTAATTTAAAATTTACTTATTTTTTAAATCTTTTTATGAAGCTTATTGTCAAATATATAGGGTCGCTGATATGTATGGGAACGGTCAATTATTAGGAAAAATATACGAGGTACCGCAAAAAGTTAAATATAAAAGTTATAGGGTTTTTAAATACATATCTTAGTGGCGAATAATAAATTTAATTATACAGAGTCGCTCATGAAGTCGTGGCACGCCAAAGTTTCATTTTTTAAAGTATTGCATATTTCAGTTCTTTCTTCAATTCTAAGCAAAAATCGAGATACACACAAACCAAACGTTTCCGAGTTATTGACTTTTGAAAATATCACCTAAAAAATTCGATTTAATTAATTTCGATGTGTTTGGTTTCATTTTTTGATGCCATTCTGCGGAAACTGTGATACTTAATAATATTTGATAAAATGAGATTCTATCAAGTCTGAAAGTTAAATTTCCGTTTAACATTTCAAAGTCAACACTTCATAATTCCTAAATGGTTGAATTTAGGTACATTATGTGTATTACGATTATTGCTTAAAATTGGAGGGGGAATTGAAATATGCAATAATATACAGGGGGGTTGCATTTAAAAAAAAATTGATGTGCCACAACTTTATGACCGACCCTGTATACTTAAATTTACTGCTAGCTAATAGAAATTTAAAAACCCTATAACTTTTGTATTTAGCTTTTTGCGGTACTTTGTATATTTTAGTTAATAATCGACCGTTCATGTGTATTTTATTGTCAAAAAAACTCCATATTTTCGCATTTTTATATGTAGATTATTAGCGCGTAATAGATTCTATGCAACTACATAGCTTGATATGACGAGAAACGTATTATTTTGCAAGTCAGCTTCGGAAATTTTTTTTTCTCCTAAAGGATGCGCAGTGGCGTTTTTTTTTTACAAGAGACAAAAACGTAGTAAATACTAGAAGGTTCATTTAACATTGATGTTTGTGAAAGTCAAATGTTAAATCACTTACAAAACATAGGCATCCCAAATCTCATTCAAATCGCAACAACTTGTAAAAAAAAAAGAAATAACTTAAAAAATGTGTTTTATTTTATTACAATTTGATGTCCTATTATTTTGATTACAAAAAATATGCAGTAGTTTTATGTCTACAAAATATAGGGACACCCTGTATACCGGGTGCGTCTCAAAAGTGGCTCACCCTTATAACTTTTTTATTTTTTCAGATAAAAAAACGAGATTTCGTTGTTATTATATGACATAAATTGGGATTGATTGACTCATTCAATTGTTTTCAGTCACTTCCTGTTTCACCGGAAATTACTACAACTTTTGATTTTTAAATGGCACCCCCGGTATATTTTTACTTTATTCAATAGAAAATGATATTCTGAATAGAATGACGTATAATATGTCAACTTTTGACATTCTTGCTTAATTAAAAATTGTATTTTAAGTTTCAATCTAGAGTGCCATGGCTATGTTAAAAAGACTAATTCGTAATCAAGGAGCCTTGGAAAAATAGTCTAATGTTTTTAGTGTCTTGGCCTGGCCGGTTAAAAAATACCCAAATCGTATTTTTAATCATATCTCATTTTTTTCAAATGGAACAAGGGTGGCTCATTAGCATATTTGGAAAAAGCATTTTTTTAAGAATAATTTGATACCACACACTTTGTATTTCAAGTCAAATTTTCGTTACGAACCGCAAGTTATAATTTCAAATAAACCATATGCGAAAATGTCCAAAGTTGACATATGACATGTCATTCTATTCAGAGTGTTATTTTCTATCGAATAAAGTAAAAAAAGACTGAGGGTACCATTTAAAATCAAAAGTTGTAGTCATTTCCGGTGAAACAGGAAGTGACCGAAAACAATTGAATACGTCAATCAATCCTAATTTATGTCATATACTAACACACCAAATCTTGTTTTTTTAACTGAGAAACTAAAAAAGTTATATGGGTGAGCCACTTTTGAGACGCACCCGGTATATTCAGAACTCTCAATATTAATACCTTAGTTTGTTTTCGAATATAACAGACAACTTACTGTCTTGAAAATATTTTTATAACAGATGATATAAAATACTTGTTTCTTTCAGGTCAAAATCTGCTTCTCCAAAGAAGGAGAAGAAGTCCCATTCTAGGTCTCGCGACCGTTCCCGATCCCGTCGTTCCAACGAGTCCCGCCACGAGTCAAAGGACAGGTCCAGGGAGAGGTCCATCTCCAAAAGGAAGTCTGTCAAGAGGTCGAGGAGCGTAAGTGCATCTCCCGAAAAGAGGTTCAAGGTAAGTCGATAAATTATTTGGAAATTTTAACTATGGTGGTCAAATCAGATTGACATATTAAACTGATTTGGCTATTATAGTAAACATGTCATAACGGGATGCACTCATGAATTAAAATGATAGTCTTGGGAGGTATGGTCCTAATATACAGTATGTCCCAGATTGTCTATACAAGAGGAAACATTTACTTTATTAATATTAAAACTTAAAAAAATGTGGTTCTTCTGATAAATAGCTCCTCACATATTAACATTTTTTGTGCTTTTTTTTGCAAGATTATGTTAAATTGCACATTTTTAAGCAAACAAACTGTTGGATGAATTTTGCCCCTTTTCTTTAAAAAGGGACAAAAAATGTATTTTAAGTACAGCAAATATGTAAAATTTTCTATACAGGGTGGTCCGAACTGTATTCCGGAAACTTCGCCAGAATATTCTGCAGATAAAAATAAGTAAAAATGTTTGTATAAATGTATGTTACAAAATGCTTAGTCTCGGAGGTAGAGGGTGTAGAAATTTCATTTTTTTCTAAATAATTTATAAAGTAACTTTAATATTTGGATGAAAATTGGTGTCGGGGAGTTTTTTGACATGAGAAATTTGATTTTGATGTCAATATGACTCCTATTTGTAGGGGGCGCCACATACATGTGTTTTAACAGTTTTGAAGAGTAATAACTTTTCGTCCGTACCTGTTTGAAACTACTGAGTTAAAGAATATATGTTTCTGTGTCTTTCTACGTAAAAATGACTCTGGGTAAAAATCGCTACAAACAACCGTTCTCAAGAGATTTAGAATGGAAATAGTCAATTCATGTCATTATTGACAAAAAATAAACACGTTGAGTAGATAGTTATAAAAAGGGAAATCGTAACGACCCCACTTGTTATAGAGGCCTAAGCAGTAACAGTTCGGTCAGCAGACTTTTTGGAAAGGTGCTACAGGGTAGGCTCAGGGACAGTATTGGTGACAAAATCTCGGAAGACCAAAGTGGATTCGCACCGGGGAAATCTTGCACAGATAACCTTTTTGTCCTGCAGCAGGTGATGGAAAAAAAGATAGCAGTAGATCAAGAAGTCCATCTAGCATTTATTGATTTGGAGAAAGCGTACGACTCTATTCCCCGCAGCAAGATATGGGAAGTATTGAATATCTTAGAAGTAGATAGACCTTTGCTTAAGATAATAAAAGAGCTATATAAAGGTGCGTATTCATTATCCGAACGAACGAACGAACGAATGTTCGCTAGTGGTATGGACGGGGACCGCACGATAGGACGGCACGAGAAGACCGGAGGCATTTGTTGGCGAACGCCTTTGATGTACCGACTCGAAACGGATGGTCGAGCGAACGAACGAACGAACGGCCGCATGCGTTCGGTCCCCGTCTAAATATACCGCACTTTCATTCGTTCGTTCGTTCGTTCGGATAATGAATACGCACCTTAAAGAAAATGAATCGTACGTTAAGATAGGACACAGGCTATCTAATCCAATTAACACCACAAAAGGGTTGCGACAAGGATGCAGCTTATCTCCTCTGATCTTCAACGCTTACGTCGAAGTAGCCCTTAGGGAATGGAAGACGAAATGTCAAGGTATGGGAATACCCATTGGGTATAACACACTATTTACCCTGAGCTTTGCAGACGATCAGGTCATGGTTGCGCAGGACTCATACGATCGAGAGTTCATGACTAAGAGGCTTTATCAAGAATACAACAAATGGGGACTTCAGGTTAGTCTAAAGAAGACCGAATACTTAGCTGTCAATTCCAACGCTTGTTTTGAAGTCTTCATTAATGATAACGTCCAGACTCAACAAGTAGACAAATTTAAATACCTGGGTGCTACTATCAACAACGAGGGTTTGGGCAAAGTAGAAATACAAACCCGAATTCAGAAGAGCAAACAAGTTATTGGATGTCTTAACAGCCTCTGGTGGGACCGAAACTTATCTGCATCAACTAAAAAGAGACTTGGAAGAACATTGGTGGAGTCAGTTCTTTGCTATGGTTCAGAGCTGTGGACTCTGAGTGCAGACGCGAAGCGCAAATTCCAAGTTGTTGAAATGGACTACCTTAGAAGAAGTGCAGGTATATCTAGGATGGAAAAAAAGACAAACATCGAGGTCAGACGTATCATGAATGCATCGGAGGAGACAGTACTGGATCGAATCGAAAAATCCAGCTTAAAATGGTTTGGACATGCCTGCGTATGCCGGAGAACAGGTGGCCAAAAAGAGTTTTTCAATGGGCTCCCCAGGGCAGAAGAAAGAGAGGTAGACCTAGAAAATCCTGGAACGGAACGGTTACGGAAGCGATGGAAGCTCGTAACCTAGAAGCTGATGACGCTCTAAATCGAGATGTGTGGCGTAGGGTAATGGGAAGGCAGCAATAGGCTGTAGTTGGAAATGAGTATTAAATACTTAAACCAAATCCCGTTTATATATATATATATATATATATATATATATATATATATATATATATATATATATATATATATATATATATATATATATATATATATATATATATATATATATATATATATATATATATATATATATATATATATATATATATATATATATATATATATATATATATATATATATATATATATATATATATATATATATATATATATATATATATATATATATATATATATATATATATATATATATATATATATATATATATATATATATATATATATATATATATATATATATATATATATATATATATATATATGAGTAGATAGTTATATGACTGAATTTGGGAAATTTTTATTTTTTTTTAATTAATCGTACATTTTTCTGCTAAAAAATGATGATAAAACAGTTTCTGTTGACCTTTTGACACAAAAACATTTCAAATTTATTATTTCATTCTAATAACTATTTAGTCAGCTTGTTTAATTTATGTCAATGGTGAGATATATTATTATTATGATTATTGATAATTTCAATTCGAAATATCTCGAGAACCATTACACATATAGATTTTTACCAAGAGACCTTTTTTACGTAAAAAGTAAATGTATATTTTTTATTCTGTAGTTTTATACAGGTATGGACGAAAAGTTATTACTCTTCAAACCAGTTAAAAATATGTAGGTGGCGCCCTCTACAAGAAGAAGTCATATTGATATCAAAATCAAATTGCTCATGTCAAAAAACTCCCAGACACCAATTTCCATGCTAGCATTGTTGTTACTTCATAAATTGTTTGAAAAAAATCGAGATAAAAATGAAACTTCTACACCCTGTATCTTCGAAACTAAGCATTTTAGGACGTATATTTATATGAACTTTTTTACATATTTTCATCTATAGAATATGCTGCCGAAGTTTCCGGAATACAGTTCGGACCACCCTGTAGATTGAGAAAATACATCAGATATTAGTTATTATATACAGTTTATTACCTTATACATTTTTGGTTTGCTATTTGGGACTTTAACTTTTGTTTTCAAATGTTTGAGGGAATTGTACGTATTTTAAAAATAGTTTTTAACATACAGGGTGAGTCAAAATAGTTTTCAAATGCACGTTGTATTTACGAATAAAATCGCTTTGATATTATGTTCCTATATCTAAACCTTCTGGTTTCTTCAGTTAGTCATTTAACAGATTTTTTTTAATTATTGTATTATAATACACAATTAAAGAAAATCATTACCATGCATGAGAAGTATTCAAACTTTATAGGTAACACAAGAGAAAAATGCAAACAAAAAAGACTAGAAATTTTATCAAAAAAATGCAAAAATATGCAATTCATCAATTACTTCAACATTATTATTTTTTTGTGTTAAATTTTACATTAGGAACTTTGATAAGAATTAAACTTCAAATTTAGTAAACTTAATTTGACAATAATAAAAATAATTTTTTTATTAATTTCATAAGATTATAAATAATTTAAAAAAATAAAGTGATTTACAAAACTATGCCAAATAGTATATTAAATATAAATTATATCTTACAATAATTATTACAAACAATTAATTATCAAGTGTTTTTGAAAGATTTCTAGAAGGAGACTTTTTTTCCTTTTGTCAGTTTGGTTACCAGGGAGTCAGGCTTTATTATTTCTTCCATGAATTAAGGCAATTTGAACCATGGGTTTTTCCCGAACCCAATTTTATAATTGTCTATTTATCAATACATAGAGAAACTGACCAGTGGTCCAGGTAGCTTATTACAGGCCAAGCAAATATAAAATATTAATATAATATTTTTTTTTAGAAAAAGTGCAAACCTTGCTGCTGATTGACAAGAAAATGCATTTTTCAGTGTCTTATTTATAAGTATCAATTGAGGAGCTTAGAATAAAAGGGATACAAGTGACTTTTTGTTCTAAATGGACTGAAGTACAGATTTAGACACTTTAGATACCAATTTATTTAGTATAAAAGGAAATTAAGTAAATTCTACACTCCACCTATTGCCACTGTAGAATTTACTTAGTTCCATTTTATACCAAATAAATTGATACCTAAAGTATCTAAATCTGCATATTTAGAAAGAAGTCACTTGTATCCCTTTTATTCTAAGCGCCTCAATTAGCATTATCTTGCTAAATTTCTAGTCATTGTCATTCAGCTGTCTGGTAACGAATTTCTTGAAATGATACTATAATAAGTAGTTTGGAAATACTACTGTAGCCTTATTAACCACGTACGATCACCAGGACCTAGATTAGTTCTGAATTCAATGCACAAGGTCTTATTACATAGTTCTGTCTGAAAATCTCAATTTGTTGACGGCAGTTGAAAAAAATGGACATAGACAAGTTCTAATCAAAGGGGACAATATATGATTTGCTTTTTAGGACTAGGGAAAATTCAACCATATTTTTACGTTTTTTTAGTTTTCTCTAAAATTGTACGGAAAGATGGAAAAGTATAAACGGGATTAACCATTTTATAACAAGCAAATTTTTTTTATTAAGGATGCATTTTTCTAGAAATATTACTAAAAAAGTGTTCCCTCTTGTAAAGACAATCTGGGGAAATACTCTTTAGTACAATAGAAACATTATGAAACATGGAAATTGTTTTGAAGAATGTAATATACCGCGTGTTCCATGAAGCGGCAACAATGTAACGCTGAAAATAACTTCCACAGGTGGAGCAGGTGCCATTATGTAAAAATTCAAATTCATCCAAAAAAAAACTCCAGTTCTCTATAAACGTCTAACCAACCATGACCGAGATTAGCCACCCACACAAGAAGATTTGGCCTGCGGACTTGGCCTGCCGACTTAGTTTGTCAATTAGATCTGTGCCCGATTAAATATTCTCGTTTTGGACAAAATTCGGACTAAAACTGGCTTTAGAAAGAGCCGACTTAAGGTTCATTCTGACTATACCTTCCGTTTCCAGTCCATATCCATTTCGTATTTTTAATTGTATTGAGGCTATACGTAAGCTTCTGTTCTGTATTAGTTCCATACTTTTTATTGTGCAATTTATATGATTAAGAAAGTTTTATTTTAAAAATTTGTATCTTTTGAAAAAGGTAATAGATTTAATTAAGAGATGAAAGAATAAATAAATATCAGCAAAACTTTAACAGAGCTGGTACAAATGTAAGAACTTGACACCGCTGTTTTCGATAGGCTTCAGTCCGTCCGCCAAAAAATGTATGGAAGGAAAGAATATGGAACGGAAAGGAAACGGAACGGATAGTGTACATTGTCCTATTCATTTACATGATATAATATTTTATGTAAACGGAAGGGAGCTGATATGGAAGGTATAGTGAGAATCAACCTTTAATCCTTCGCTTTTTTACACCAATCTAATCTGACAAATCAAGTCAATCGATTTGGCCTATGACAAGCTTGATCCGCTAAAGGTTTGGCCAGCCACAGACTTGGTTCGCCACACAAACACAAAGTTTATGTGCAGACCAAGTCTGCAAGCCATATCCTCTGGCCAAATCTTCTGGTGTATTGGGGGCTAATCACTTTGTATAGTGACAAAACGTACAATTTTTTAATTTCATCATGCTACAATGTTTTTTCTTTTGTTCCAGGACAAGTCTGCTTCCCATTCCCGCTCAAGGTCCCGATCGAAACGCGAGTCCCGATCCAAGTCCAGAGACCGTTCCCGCTCCAAGAGCCCCGAAGACAAGAAAGCTTCGAGGAGCCGAAGCCGATCCCGCTCTTAAGCCGACCGAACATAAAAAATCAGACAGTAGTAGTTTGTATCCACTTTCAAGGTTTCTCACACATTTTGTGTCTTGATCGATTACTCTTTCGTTTATTTTTTTGCTTTCCTCGACACATATCCTGACCAGAATCCTACTTTCGTCGTTTTAAGAACATTCTAGTTTGTTTAGTTCACTTAGATTAGAATTTTACGTTCGGTTTCTATGCTTGTAGTTTATTTCGCTTGATTTTCTTACTATGAATAATATGAATGCTTTTCATACATCCTCGTAAGAGATAACGGCTGATTCTTAGGTCCAGATATTGACTTCTGAAACTGATTTCAGTTATATTATGTTATATCTTTGTGCATGTCTGTTTGAGTTAATTGTATATTTTGACTTATTTAGGTTTTAGTGCTGCAATTTTTAAAATTGTGAAACTGCTTTTAATAACTTGTATTTTCTCTATCTTAATATTTTAATACAATTTTTTCTTTTTGTCTTCTATCTCTGTAGTTCACGACATGATCTTTGCGTTTTGCAATATTAAAAAATGCCCTAACACTAAATCTTTTCTACATAAATGTAACGTAAAACGAGATATCTGAAACTAAATTTATTGGGAAATGGGGTTGATATCGCTGTGACAAAACAGCATTTGGCAATTTTTTGCTGGTTCAATCAAATTGAAAATTATGTTTGTGTTGTTTAAAGAAATTAACTTAACAGTTGGTTAAATGTCATCTAAAATATATTTTAATTCAGTTTTTTTCAAGGCTTCTTAAGATACTTATTGCCAATTCGAATTTAACTGAAGCACTATTTTTTTTAAATAAAGAGAATCATTTTAATTATTTTTAGAACTTTAGTGTAAAATCAGGAAATCTTTAAAAATATCTATATTTGAATCTGAATAATGAATATGTGTGGCAAGACTAACTTTTCTTATCGCTTTGATGAGTCATAGACAAGCAGTTTATGTTAAAACAATTCCATAGTTATAGTGTATTTTTAAATTATATAAGGAACTAATCACATAATCTATATTTTCTCGATATAGTAGTTTAGAGGGGCCAACCGCAATGATGGTCAGCCATAAAGCGTGTATCCATTCGGGGGCCCCCCAGATTTTAGTCCTGACCTGTATAATGGAGTCAGCCCATTTAGCCCAAAAACAAAATGTAAGTTTAGTTATAAGGTGTTTATAATAAAGGATTAATGTACTTTTAAGTTATCGGTGTTTCATTTTGTTGAGATAGTTTTGCCGATGCTGTGTCTTAATAATCTTGATTTCTCTTTTATAGGCGACAGGCCAAAAGCTATCTTAAGCCAGTCGTGCCGTACAAATGCCATTCAAATGCCATACAGATTGTAAGACAATAATCGCAGTTTTACTGTAAAGCGAGAGTCGCAAAAAAACAGATAACAGATACCGAAAACAGATTTTTACCAGATAAATGCCAATATACAGCCAGATACCATGTGAAACTTGTACAGATATCCGTAACAGCCTCAGTTCCTCAACTGTACAGCCATACAGACGAGCCTGTAGTGACCGATATAATGCCTCAACTGTACAGCTTGACAGCACAAGTATTTGTGACAAATGGGTTTATATTGGTAATATTTATTTTTATAAATGGGTGGTAAAGGGATTTTTTTCTTATTTGGGATTTGTTTTCATTTTAAATCAACTAACTCTCGTTTTTTTAGAATTTAACATACTTTCTCGATTTTAAGGGTTTATTTTTTTACTTTTTTTTTATTTTTTAATTTCTGAAACTAAAGGAATATTTTCGGGGCATGAAACGTAAGATTGTTTCATTAACTATTTCATCTTTCTATATCAAAATTTTCAGACCAAAAGAAAAGTATTTGAAAATTAAAGTGCACTCTGAAAATTTTATGGTTTTCTAGAAATACTTCATAGAGATTCAGAGTCTATGAAGAAATTTATAAAATTTCAGAACATCGCAAGAAAGAATGGCGTTTTCGCAAAAGAATGTGGAAATTAAAATTCATTACATTTATTGTATTGGATTATTTGATAAAGTACAATAACGCACTTTTATCAGCATTGAGAAGTTTTAAGAACCACAGATATTCCCATTGAGATGTTCTAATTCTTTTTTCATTTTATTTGATTCTTTGACACATCAATTTTTCTATTTCAGTATTCTTTCTACTGGGGAAAATTTTATATTTAGTGCAATTTTATTTCTGTTAAGATGTTCTGTCTGTTATGGAATGTCTTCTTACACGTGTTCTTTGTTTCTTGTTCTTCTTGTACATGTTCTTTTTTTCAGCAGAAACACAGATTTTTTTAAAATGAAATATAGGTATCATCTGTTAAAATGTCTATCCACTTTCTGATTAAGTGGAATAACTCTTTCATTAATTTAGTTTTTTTTGTTTATTTTCACATTTGACATTGGTGTACTTGTGAAATCATTTTGAGATTTTTGCTCAAATTATTGTTTGATCTAATTTTTTTGTTAACTGGTTTTGAAATTTGTTTATAACTGTTTTTTTTTAATTTGTTTCCAAAACGGTTGAAAATATTTCAGTTTATATTCTATAGATTTTACAAATATTATCAGTATACAGGGTTTGCAAGAGAATATTTTAAGTTTGTATTTACATTTGTAGCAGTAAATGCGGCGGTGTTTGTACGATGTGCGGTTGCGAGCATTGTTTGTCATTTCTCGGTTATTTCATACGTTTGGCAACATCCATACTCTTCTCCATTTTTTCAGTACATTAGTAATTGATTATAAAAAATGTCTATACCTCTGTGACGGATTCATCCAACCAAAAAAGGCATATTGGTATTTCGCCACTGCAAGAAAATCAACAAAATAAAATAGTTATTGTTTGTAAACACTGCTGCGTTTATCCAATGGAGACTAATTGTCAACAGTGGTTTACTAATAAACAAATTTGTCTAACGGACAAAAGATGCTTAACGTTCGGAAAGTATATCTCTTTCCGTCGACCGAAGCAAAAAAAAACACAAAGAACAAAAAAAAGCTGTTTAAAATATCTAAATGTAACTATTCGAGAACACTTCAGTTTTTTTAAAACAGATACGTCTACACAAACTGTTAGCGTTCTGTTAAAATGACATAGATTCTCTTACAGTGGGGAAATACCCATAGGACTTTTTTGGAGTAATTCATTATTCTCTTCACACGGAAATTGGTACCCATATATAGTTTTTGTCAACCGTGTATATTCAATTCCACTGTTGTTATTTTCAAAAATTTTAATTTTTGTTTTAATGCCTTTCACACAAGAAACTGTATTTGTTTTTTACCTAAGTATTAAAATTCACCTGCAAGACCTAACATAGTTTATTATATCAGAGGGTGATATTTTACCAAGGTTTGGTAAGTATCATGGTTTTGTCAGACATCCCAAACTTGGTTCTGCTCCCTGCGGCGCAGGTACACATAACGTACTTCATTTTTTCGTCACTTCATACAGAGTCTTCCACCAGTCCCATTCTCTGCAGGTGTGATCTCGTGTATACTGCAGTGAGTTCTCCTGTTCTGCGTGTGGATGGCCCTAACAAGCTTGGCATGTTCCATTCCGGGACTGTCATTCCAGCCTTGAAACGTCATGTCCCTTACTTACATTCACAGAGCTGATCTCTTGCGAGATTTTTTGGAGCGTAACTAACCGACACTAAGGTTCTGATCCTACGAATGACGTACTTGCACCTGTTTTGGCAAGGGATAGTCCCGGTATCCATATCAACGACACTTTGTTCCTATCTCCTTATAACAACAACAGTTAGAAGAAATAGCTAGAAATGTATTTGTTGACCCTTCAGTGCAATATTTAATACAAATAACTATTGCTTTTTGTATACAAGGTCTTATGAAGATTGTGGAATGGAATTAATTTTCAATAAAGAAGGATTAGTTAAGTATGTACCCATAAGAATACAGATCTGATTTAAACGAAATACAGCTGGAAACATTGATACTGAAAAAAATAGTTATGAAGCCAAAGTGAATAGTTAGAGATAAACTATTTACAGAATTCTCAATAAGGAAGGAACATACGAAATATGCTGTTGCCATCTGGATTCCATTCAATTTCTTGTGAAATGGACGTCTTGCCAAATTTTGACATTGCACGTATTGGGCATTTTTTGACCACTTTCTGTACATTTGGTGTATGTATATATTTGTTTATTCAATTTTTATATTTTAAGCATTTATAGTTTTAATATATAGGGTGAGTCAATGATTGCGTTCAAGTAGATGAACGTCGTGATGTGGTTTTTAAAGAACTCTTTGGGTATTTATTTAGTTGAAATAAAGCCAATATATACTTTTAAGGAATAAGAGTCTCCTCATAAATGTTGTTTATTTTATCTTATTTTTATTTTATATATAGTGGAGACAGACTAATTCGGATTATCGAAAAAAAAACGGATTATTGAGTCGTCGTACAAAGCATAAAAACTGCTAATTTAAGCTGCCAAACATTTATTATATCTACAACATAATATATTTATTTAAATACTCTAAGAAGAAAATTACATGTAACTGGTTCTTAATATATGTATATATCGGGGTTATAACGTTTTACGACGTCTTCCGATTTCTAGTCTCCCTTGTTGCCTATCTTGCCAGAGGTTTTCGTCTAGTTGTCTGTCTTCCATTTCTCGATCTATTCCCTCTCTCCAGCTTTTTCTTTGCCTTCCCCTTTTGCATCTACCAGTGGGTGTTCAATTCAGAATTTGTTTTGGTAGTCTATCGTTTTCATCTTCAACAATAGAATGTTTGACGCCCATAATTTCCCTGATACTCTCGTTTGTAATTTTTTCCATTCTTGATTTCCCGGCTAATCGTCTTCAGAAGTCCATTTCTGTTGCTCGTTCTTAATAAGGAACATCAAAGATATGTATTTAATTAAAGTAGTCTAATTTTTTTTTGACTTGCGATCTCAATCATTTAGCTTCCATTCTTCGTTCTCGCTTAAATCTTAGTGTGTAGTTTTACTTCCGTTACCTTGATGATTAACGAAGTTTGTTGCAGCTGGGTGTTAATTTCAACAAAGTCCTGTTGGTTTTTCCTGTAGCTTAGCAAGAACAAATCAAGGACTGAACGACCTACCGATTGTACCGTTCCAGTCCAGATTACCTGATACCTAACGATCCGAATTACAAGGTACCTAATATTAAAAGTCCAATATTTTAATTTTGTCCGGATAAAGGTTAATTCTCACTCTCGTCCGTTTACATATAATGTTATATCATGTAAATGAAGACAATGCACACTATCCGTTCCGTTTCTCTTCCGTTCCATATCCTTTCCTTCCATACATTTTTTGGCGGACGGACTGAAGCGTATCGGAAACAGCGTTATCAAGTTCTTACATTTGTACTAGCTCTGTTAAAATTTTGCTGATATTTATTTATTCTTTCGCCTCTTAATTAAATCTATTACCTTTTTCAAAAGATACAAATTTTTAAAATAAAACTTTCGTAATGATATAAATAATTGTACAGGGTGGGTCAAATTCGACGCTTTTAAATGGAAACACCCTTTTCTATAGGACATAGACAAAAACTAATATCGGTGTCTGGAGCTCAATTTTTGTCAAAAACATGATGGTGAAAACCGCATATCGATATCTCTTACCGTTTCGGAGTTACGGGGTGTTTTTCAAAAATATGCATTTTTAACAAATCGCTGTAACTTTTTTGCTAAGGAAAATTTTGTATTTTTATGAAAACATTTCCAAAGCACCTTTTTACGTAGAATTTAATGATTTAAGTATAATTTTTTTAAAATTAATAATTTAAGAATTATCAACAGAAAATTTGATTTTTTATATGGGACACCCTGTATATTTTTAATTTATTGAAAAAAAAATTAAAATTACCTTTCCAAAAATATAACACACTTGATATTTTGCTCGATTCCTCTTCGAGATATAGAGTATATAAAAATTCGCCCGCTTTAAATAAGTAGGCTTTGAACGGCACCGGCTGTAATGGAAAAAAATTCTAGCTGTGAGAATCAAAACGAAAATAATATTTGCTATGAGAGATGCAGAATTTTATAATTTAAAATATATTTAACCAACATCAACACATTTAAACTATATCTAAAAACAATAAAAATAAATAGCAAACCAAGACATGAGATTTTGCTACAGGTGTTCGACATATCGACCGTCTTATGTTATGGACAGACGGGGCAGTTTTTGAACATTTCTCGCGGAATTCATTAACCCAGTAGGGGTGAAAGATACCCTCTCATAACTGCTAAGTTTTTCTAATTCTTGTATAGATTATACGGAATAATAAGGAACCTTTATTCTTCCGCAAATATATCCATAGGATTAGATCCATGGGCACTAAGTCAGGTGGCCTCGACGGCCAACGGCTGGGATCTTGGTTAGCTATTCAATTATTCTTGAAATTGGCTGCAAAAATTTTCTGACAACTTCAGCGTTCAGAGGCGGTGCGTTGCGTCGTCTTGCTGGAAAAATATGTTCGAGTTCCATTAGGGGCATATCATCAATAAGGGGTCCAAAGCCTACTAGTTAAAAGTGGCGAACTTTTAAAAATTCTGTAATTCGAAGGGGATTATAACAAAATATCAAATGTGGTATATTTTTGGAAAGGTAATTTTAAATTCTTTTCAGTTAATTAAAAATATAGAG